CTCACTCACCATGTTGGCATTGTAATTTACAGAGTTCATGTTGAGAGCTCTAACATTATAACATGTCCTACTATTTTTGGAAGAAGAAGAAGCTTGTAAAGCAAGTGCAAAGTCTACCTCAGTGGTGGTCTCCATGGAAGTACCAACCGCCCGAGGAGTCTCTACGCCGCCCAAATTCCCAGACAGCTCCTGACTTCTTCCCAAATCCTGACTAAACAAATCCACTCCAAACTCTGCATCCACTTTAATCCTTGACAAACCAAAGTCTGAAATCTTTGCTCTGAAATCTGTATCAAGCAAAATATTACTGGGTTTAATATCTCCATGAATCACAGGTGGGTCACATCCAAAATGCAAGAACTCGAGCGCTTTTGCAACGTCGAGAATGATGTCAAACCTTCTCTCCCAACTCAACAAATCACTTGAATGGGAATCTCCAAAAAGTGATTCCTGCAAGCTCTTGTTTGGCATATACTCATAGACCAAGAATCGTTTGTTCTTTTCCACACAGTATCCCAAAAGCGTAACCAAGAAAGGCGATCTTAACCCACCAAGAATCTGCAACTCGTTATGGAACTCTCGCTCTGTCTGCAACGAGAAACTGTCAAGTCTCTTGACGGCAAACAACTTTCCATCTTTGACAACTCCCCTGAAAACAGTACCGGAACCTCCTTTGCCGATGACATTGGCGTCGTCGAAATCAGCAGTGGCAGTCTTGAGCTCTTTGTAGGTGAATCTCTGGAGCTTGAGAGGAGCAGTGGAGTCGATAGGGATGGTTCTGGAGCAGTTAACTAAAGAGCGCCACAGATGGTAAAGGAGTAGAGAAGGGTGAAGAGAATAACAAGGGAGGATGAGATGGTGAGGATCAAGAAAATGAGTCTGGTTTTGGTGATGAAAGCTGGGGGTGGTTGAGTGGAAGAAGGAGATAAAGGCCTTGAAGGCATGGTGGGTTTTTGTGGGAAGTTGGAATAGTGCAGGGATTATTGGATATGCAGAAGAAGAGAAGGTCTAGCTATGGAGTTCTTTTTCTTTTTCTGGTGTTGGGTGTTTTCTGTGTCTGGTATCCAATGTGGGATTGCTTTACAGTTGGACAATGAATCAGAGAAGTTGATAATGTTGTTTAACTTTTTGATGGTGATTGACTCTGTTCTTAATTTTCATTAACTAATATATATATATATATATATATATGTATATATATCAACTTCATTGGAGAGCTGGACCTGCTTATGAAAATCTAATGGAGCAAATCACTCTCCTTGAAAAATAGTCAATCTCTCCACTAGTGGCCTTATATCAAACTATAATAATTGTTTTAGTATTTTTGAATTACTCAATTTATTAATTAATTTATTTATGAGATTATAATAATTAAATTAAATTAAATTTTAATGAATTTATTATATTTTTTAATTAAAAAATATTTTATGACAATAAATTTTTTAATTAAAATAATTATACTAGGCAAAAAATTTTATCTAATTTTTTTATTTTAAAAAAAATAGTCAAAACTAAACATGGGTTATTAATATTTTGTATAATATATTTTACATGTTATTATTTTATAAATATATTATATAATTAATAAAATATATAATTTTTACTTAAAAAAATAAAAATTTATGTATTTAATAATTAAAAAATCAAATTATAAAAAGTGATTTCTTTAAAATTTATGAAATGATGAATTTTTTATAATTGAAATAATACACTCTAAATTACATAATTATTCAAATTTTAAGGTTACAAATTATTCGGTAGTATATTAAATAAATAATAAATAAAATTCTTTTTGAAAATAAATATGCAATTTTTTGGGAAATAAATAATTTTTTAAATGTGGTAAGAAATTGGGGTTTGGTGAGCACTAAGAGATATTGGGTTGACAAATTACAAGAGTTTAATTTTTAATTTTGATTTTTTTTAATACTTGAAATTGAAAGGAATATATGGTGGGTCCCACCGTGCTTTTGACCGAAGAAAAGTTTGTGCAGAAAAGTCGTGTCGTGTGCAAAAGTAAAGAGGCAATTTGGTAATCTCTTGACACGCGCTACTCATGTAGAGCCCTAGAGTGACTCATCATATTTAAAGCTATGAA